CAGTCACCATTGACATGGAACCCAACTTTGTCATTGCAAACTCAACAACCATCACTCTCTCCGGGATCTTCGACGGGTTCTCCTCTTCCAACAACTCGCTGGAAATGGTGGAGACAGTCGGAAACATACGCGTCGACTTCCAGGAGTACAGCAGGCTGGTGCTGACGTGTACAGACGTCGTCATGGCCAGGGCCCAGCTCAGGATCACCTTCAAAATGCGCAACAAGTGGCAAGCAGACGCGTATGGAGCAAGATTGCAGGTTATCATAGAGAACCTGCCCCTCCAAACTCAGCAGGACCTGGAGCTGTCGACCACCGGGCAGACAGTTCAGCTGCGGTCGGTGTCAGCTACTTCAGCTGAGCTCTATGCTGGAGAGCTGCCGGTAAACCTCTATGTCTCGAACATCCGGTTGCCGCAACATGACGGCCTGACCGGCAATTATCTGATCACAGCCACAAGGGGGAACTTGACCATCAGTGAGAGCTCCGCGATCGCTGGCTCGCTGCTGGAGCCCTCGTTCCTGAACGCCTCTGTTGCCCTTCACCCTCTCATTGTCGGGGCAAGAGGAGAAGTGAAGATCGAGGTCGCGACCTCCAACCCGATCCCTCACGGAGGGTACCTCTTCCTTGCCTTCCCCGACGGGTTCAGACTTGACACGGAGCTGCTGGACGAGAGCAGGAGAAACTCGGTCTACATCAAGACAGGTCTCCAGGTGGTATCCCAGCAGGGCCAACTTCAGCTCGAGCTCAGCTCGAAGAATACGGACATGTTTCCCGGTGCCAAGCTCGCGATCTCGCTCAAGAACGTGGGCGAGACGCTCCCTGCCTTCACTCCTTTCTCTTTCACATTGCAGGGAGTACAGTTCCCCTTCGAGACCTTCGTACCTTCCGTAAGGTGCGGCAACACCTTCAAGATCCGATCGTCTGACCAGGACGTCAACCTTATCGACATCAACGACAACGTGACACTCCCAACTGTCCGCTTGACGGCAGGCCGCCTGCTGGACACTGCAATCCTCCCTGCGTCCCGTAAAGCAGGAGACATCACTGATTTCGACTTCGCCTTCTCCAACTTCAACCCCTTCCCTGCTACTTTCACCGTGGAGCTCGCCCTCCCAGACGGCTTCTCCTTCTCCAACAGCCTTCCCCCCCCCTTCTCTTCCGCTCCGACGTGCTTGGTGGTCGACGCGCTGCTAGCAGGCAACTGCAGCGTCAGCATGCGGGGGGCGAGGCGGATGGCTATCGACGTGACCGTGACATCAGCTCCTGTGCTCGACAGCCGGACGCAGGTCAGGCTGAGGATTCCGGCATGGAAGGAAAGCATTTTCTCCTACTACGGCGTCAGGAACCCTCAGGTCTCGGGAGCCACTGGCACCTTCCAGCTTAGGACGATCCTGTCGGAGGAGATCGTCTTCGAAGAAGACCTCAACGTCCCTCCCGTCCTCCTTCTTCCCGGCAATCTCTTCTTCCCCTACCTCCACCTTCAAGATCCGCAGGCTGGCATGTCCACCAGCCTGCTCGTTCACTTCATCATCTCCAACCCATTGCCTTCTGATGGTCATATCGTCCTGACCCTCCCAGCCGCGGACTTCGACTGGGGAGCGGTCGAAGCAGCCAACGCTTCCTCCTTCAAGTTCTTCGATCCAGCTTTGCCCCAGCTGCAGCCTCTAAGTCTCTCTGCCAACGTCGCTGATCACACAGTGACGGTCGGGGGGTTCACGGACACGGTCTACACGCCCTGCAAGGAGGGGGTGGAGGTAAACAGCCTCGTCGAGCTTGGAGAAGGAGCGACGACCCGGGCTCGAGTGCTGGCGACTCTTCCTGACTACTTCTGCCTTTCGTCCTGCACGCCTGTCGTCCAGCAGAATATCACGAGAGACTTCGGGGCGCGAATCTTGATCTGTGGGTTCGCCATGGACATGAATCCTTCTTCCCTATCCCAGTGTGCCAGCGCTCCGACGACCCTCAGGTTTCAACTCTCAGCCTCGGCCGACGGCGTTGACTTCGTCCCAGTCTACCAGGAAGTGATCGCGTACAATCAAAGTTACGTGAGAGCTTTGAGCTACTGCCTTGAGTTCAGGCATGTCCGCCTCACCATCACCCACTCCTCAGACTGTTCCAGCGCGACATTCTGCGAGCTAGCAGGGGATCTCAAGTTGTTCTCTTTCCCATCGGAGAAAGCGATCTCGCGGAGAACAGCTCTCTCCTGCTCCTTCTCCATTTCCCTCCAGGGCCTGCTCCTCAATCGACCGTTGGCAGGCAGCACCGGCGACGTTCGACTGCGAACGCTGGACGCAGCAAACAGAGTCATCGACGAGACAATGGTAAGAGGTCCTTCGATCGTACCGGCGGCTCTTTTGGATGCTGTTGCTGCCCATTCCTCGTCCTTTGTCGGCGATCTGAGCAACGTCAGCCTCTCATTCACGACTAGAAACTCTCTATGGAACTTCCCTTCCTTCAAGATCATCTTCCCGTCGTCCATGGACATCAACCAACTCTCGCTACTTGACGTGACGGTTGACGGCAGCCAAGTCGCTTCCTTCAAGCTGATTGGACTTGACGTTAACGAGGTGACTGTTGGTGCCAGCCAGCTCAACATCAGCAGCAATGCGGAAGTCAAACTGACGTTCAGCAACGTCAGAAATCCCCTCGTGAGCGGCTCGGGAGGGCGTTACCAAGTCACCACCCGCAGTAACGGTGTCCAGGTCGACGCGAACTGGAGCATTCCAGCTGTAATCTTCCTCCCCTCCTGCCTCTCCGACTCGGTGGTCAGTCTCCGGAACTCGGTGGCCGGAGGGCTGACGGACCTTCTCATCGACTTCTCCCCCTCCTTCCCACTGCCTGCCGGCAGCACAGTGCGGCTGAAGCTTCCGGGAGACTACATGCCGATCCAAGAGCAGCTGACGGCCAGGTGGAGGGGAACCTCGACTGACCTCATCGCCGTGACACATGACAACATGTACATCTACCTGAACCCCGTCCTCACCCCCGCCGCAAACTTCCCACAGTTCTATCAGGGTCAGCTGGCCATGCAGCTGGAGGGTGTCCGGCTTCCAGCTCGTTCTGGCCCCTCGGGCTCCTTCGAGCTCTGCACCATCCAAGGCCCCGTGCTTATGGAATGCTTTCCCTCCTCCTCCAAGTGCCCTGCTCCCTCCTCCACCTTCCTGCCAAGCTTGCTGGTCCCAGACCAGCTGCTCCGGGCTGCAGTGCGAGCAAAGGAGGCCCTGGCGGGCAGTGACGGGCTGACGGTCGAGATGCAGGTCAAGAACGCGCTTGTGGACGGCTCCTGGGCGCAAGTTGAGCTACCTCCAACCTTTATAGTCAGCGACCCGTTCCTGACGTCTCTGACGATAAGGGAGGCGAACGATTCCGCATGTCTCCTCAACGCCTCTTGCGACGCCCGGAGATGTCAGGCGGTCTGCACGAGCTGTTCGTGCGCCGTTAACTACTCCTCTCCCCTCCAGCTCTTTTCTGCCTCTCAGACGGACAGTCTCCTCCTCAGGGTCAAGCTACCGCCCCTCCGCCCTCATGCTCTGCTGCTGATGATGTTCAGCAACGTTCGAGTCCCCCGACTGAGTGGAACCAGCGGAAGTTTCAACGTCTCGACTCTAAACCCGAACCTCCAGGTGGTCGACGAAGCTCGAGATCCCGGGTTCGACATCCGCCCCAACCGCTTCCTCCGCTCCATCATGTCCCTGAGCTCGGACGTAGCTGGGGACAACTCGACCCTGCTGTTGCTGTTCGGGGTTGACAACGTCATTCCAGCTGGAGGCCGAGTTAGACTGGTGATGCCATTGTCATTTTCGGTCGAACTAGAGCAGGACTACACCTTCCTCCAGCTGGTATCGTCTCACTCCCTACAGTTCTGCGAGGAGCTGAACGCCTCCTCCTCGCAGCAGGTCAACGTGCTGGCGAGGGAGGTGGCAGGGAACGTCTCAGGCAACGGCAACGTGATCGAAATGCGCTTGCATGACAACTCAGTGGGCTGCTTCTCCCTCACCTTCAATCTCGTCCGCAACCAGATGTTCTCCGGGCCTTCAGGATTCTTCCAGCTGTTCACTGAGAACCCGGACGGCCTCATCCTGGACCAGAACGTCGAGCTAGCTCGCTTCCAGTTCAAACCCGCCACCATTCTTGTGCGTGCTGCCATGAGTGAGACGACCGCTGGTTCCTCGTCCCAGCTCCACATCTCCTTCACCCCCGCCAACTTGCTCCCTCCCTCCTCCTCCATCGCGATCGTCCTGCCCGGCGGGTTCGAAGTACTTGACAACTCCTCGGTCATCGAGTTTCTCAACGTCTACTCTCCTACGGCTCTCCACTCGCACCAGCTCGGCCGGGGCCTGGCAGTCCGCGTACTTAAGAGAAACGTCCTGACCGTTAAGATTCTAGACAGCCTTTACACTGTCCAGCCTCTCCGCCCCTTCTCCATGGTCGTCGATCGCGTCAAGTCGCAGCCCTACGTCGGCAAGTCTGGGACCTTCCAAGTCCGAACTTTGACCGCTGACAATGTCGCGATCGACCAGGACCTGAGCGTCGAGGGCGTTCAAGTCGTCCATGGCACCATGAGCGGCGCGTGCCCCCCGTTTTGCGTCAGTCCTAGCATCTCCCTCACGTCCTCCGGAGCTGGCGAGGTCGTGGAGGCGACCTTGACTTTCATCCTCTCCAACCCCCTCCCAGTTGATGGGAGGATCTACCTGGACCTCTACCACGACTTCGCGCTCTCTCCGTCCTCGCAAGTCTTTCCCGTCAGCCTCATCGGCTCTGACCTCGCAGCTCGCGCTGCTACTGGCATTTTGGACGGGAACTTCTCGACGTACATGAAGAGTAACCTTCTCAGGATCCAGCGACAAGGGAATGGCAGGGAGGTCGAGCTGGGCCACGTGCTCCAACTAAAGATCACGGACGTGATAGTTCAGCTGTACGAGGGAGGGACGGGGCCAGCGACAATCAGGACGTTGAACGGTGACAACCAGGAGGTCGACCTCTCCCTAATCCCCCAGCTGTCTGTCCACGCTGCAAACTTTGTTCTGATCAGAATGATCAAGTCAAGCCTGCTGTCAGGCGCCAAGTCAAACATGACTGTCGTGTTCTCCGTCAGCGGCCCAGTCCACACCGGAGCCGTCCTTACCATCAACATCACCGAGGAGAGGCTGGAGTTCTCCGATTACCTCCCGCCCAGCTCAGCCACAGCTGGCTGGGAAGTCTTGTACGAGGTGGGGTTGCTGCTTGTCAAGTATGTGGCCCCACAGACTATTCCGGAGAGCACAGTCAACACGGTTGAACTCCTCAATGTCTTGAACCCGGCCGGGGCCTTCAGCGTCAACTACATTGTGTCCCTCAACTCAACCGTTACCGCAAAGAGCTCGCACAGGTCAAACTACGTCATCGCGTACAAGCCCAATGCACTCCTGAGGGTGGAGTCCAATCTTGACAACTATGTCGTTGCTAGTCAACCCCAGCTGAACCTTGCGGTCCAGATCCGCAACCCACTCCCGAGGGACGCGCGACTTTCCATCGACCTTCCGAGCACCTTTTCCGTCCTCTCCTCGTTTGCGACCTCCAACCTCTCGGGGCCTGACTGCTCCATCGCCATCACTGACGTCGTCGGTCTAAGCATCCGCCTCCAACGGGTCCCCAGCAGGGAGTCGAATTGTTCAGCCATGCCCGCGCAGTCGTGGGTAAACTTGACCTTCCATGGCTTCGGTTCCCAGCTCTTTTCCGGTCGAGTCCCAGCAGTCCAGGTGACAACTCTGACTAAGGACGGCTATGAGATTGACCATGGCTTGAGCAACAACATGTACATGCTTGCGACGGTCATTGCCAACGCCCAGTACAAGCTCGCCAGTCTCCGCTGCGGCAGCGAGTCAGACATTACACTCACCTTCACCACTCGCTCGTTCCTCCCTCCTGACGCCTGGATCGTTGTCAGACTCCCAGCTGGTTTCTTTTCTCCGGATCTTCCTCGTTACACCGAGCTGGATGGATACCCTGTCGAGATTTCCTCCTCCCCTAGCCAGTTAGGAGCATGCGATCCGCAACGGCTTGCCGAAGGTTACCTCTCCCCCTACAACTGCGTCTTCCTCCCCGACCCATCGAGCCTCCCTGCCCAGCAGCAAAGCACGACGCTGCTGCTCAAGAGATACGGAGGGAAGGAGTACAGAAAGCTAGACACCATTGACCTCACCATTCCCCGCGTGCGGTCAAGACGCTTCAGCGGATTCAGCGGCACCTTCCAGCTGCTAACCCTTGTGAGTAGCTACGAGATGATCGAGATGAACATGCAGGTCAACGGAGTCCACCTGCTCCCTGGCACGATGTCCGACGTTGTCTTCAGTCTCCCCTCCTTCATCTCTCCTGTGCCCAGCTCCCTGCTCGTCAGCTTCAGCTCCAGCAACCCGCTGCTTCCTGACTCTGAGGTCCGCATCGAGTTCTACAGCACCCCAGCAAACCTCGAGCAGGCGAGCATCGGCTTCTTCGACGGGCCCTTTGACAACCTTGTCATCGCCGGCACTTCGATCTCGGTCGGAGGTAATAAGATCCTCAAGCTCAAGCCACAAGGCGTTAGGGGCCTCGACCAGCCGTTCACTGCCGCCATGAGACTGGACGGCCTCACGTTCCTACAGACTACACCGATGCTCCCCGTAAGTCCTGACGACCTGTTTGACCTGTTTTCGTGGTCTTACAGCTGGGCTTCTGCAGGAATTTGTCGTGCAGACCATCTCAAGTCAGGACAACCAGCTGATCGACCAGAGCGACTTCACCAGCCCCAGCAGCGACTCTCATCAGTTTGCGCTGGCGCTGGTCAATGGGATCCTGGTGGCCCTGGACGCTTCAAGTCCCGATAAGGTAAGAAATGGAGGACGCGAGACGAGAAAAAAGAGGGGAGCAGGGGAGTAGGGGAGGGAAGAAGGGGAGGAAGGCAAATGGAGAGAAGAGCGAAAGTGAAGACAAGGAGAGCAGGAGAGGACGAGAGGAGGAGAGAAGGACAACGGGTTTGTCAAGACCTGGCGAAATTCACCAGCAACATAAAGATCCCGAATGTCTTGCATGGTGACTTGGATGTTTGCAGGCTGTACAGGTTGCCAACATCAGCCAGCAGGAGGTTGCGCAGCAGATCTCAGCAGTCGATGCCTCCTTCTCTTCTGTCTTCTTCGTCGACAGCATATCCCTGGTCTCTTTTGACCTCAACACCCATGAGATTACCACCGTGCTCCTCAAGAGCGGCGCTTCTCTCGTCAACGAGCTCGTCTCCATGCGCTGGGATGTCGAGCGTGAGAGACTGGTGGGAATAGCGATCATGGACGATGGCTCCTACTACTGCGCCATTGACAGGTGAGCAGCAAATGCACAGTTGTGTTTTGAGAATGCTTGACTTTATTTCTCCTCATCTTCCTCTCAACCTCCTTCTATCTTTCTCTCCTTTTCCTCTTTTTCTCCATTCACGAATCTTTCTTCCTTGTCTCTTTCCCTTCTTGTTCTGCTCCTCTTGCTGTCCTCTCGCTCGCTTTCTTCTCCTCCTTCCTCCTTTCAATATCCTCTTGCTTTCTCCTTCCAACAGGTTTTCTGGAAACGTCACACGGCTCGCTGTGATTCCCAGCTGCGGTTCGATCGAGTGCTCTCTCCAGCGAGGACTCTCAGCCTTCAGTCCAACCTTTGGCCTCTACTTCAGCGCCTCTTTCCTTGCCCTCCTCACACTTGACTCCACCACGGGACAGACCCTCTCCCATGCCAGCTGGCAGCCCGACGTGTCAAACTTCGACGGATTCTTCTCCCTGCAGTTTGCGGGACACAGCAGCCTCAAGGCTAGCGGCGACGATGGCCTGCTAGGGCTCAGCACGCTAGGAGGGACGGAAGTCGCGCTCTTCAGCCTGAACTCGTACAGCGGGAGGGCAACCAAGGTTCTTAAAGTCATGGAGGCGGAGCAGGAGGCAGACCTTGTGGGAGGACCCTCGTGCTTGAGCGAAAACAAGCTTTACCTCCTCCTCTACAGCACCCGCCTCGTCCTTATTGACCTGACCTCCGGCGCCGTCTCCTTCCTCGCCCCCTTCAACCTTCAGGGCCTGGGGATACCCCAGCCTCAGACAAGCTGGTACTGGCTTGAACTCGTGCCGTTCCAGGTGGCCCGCAAAGTGGACATGTTTGACGACGTTCAATTCTCAGTGTGGGACGACAACATCACCGTGCTGGGGCTGCCGGAGAGCCTGCCCATCAGCCCAGGATCCTTTGTTCGCGGGGTGTACTTCTCCCTCACCCTGCTGGGCTCGGGGGTGCGAGTGAACGACAGCATGCAGATCACGCGCGTTGGAGACTGTCAGTCAGTGCTGCCCGGGGGTGGTCCCTTCCTCATCAGAACTCCAGAGCTCCACACCCAAGATTTCGCACTTGACTTCACCGACGAGCAGCAAGCCCAGCTCTGCATCCTCAGCGGCAGCCTGCTTGACAGGACTCTCCGGGTCGTCCCCTGGGCACCGGAGAGGGGGCTCAGCTTCCCGCTGTCGCAGGCTGTGGTGGAGCTACCCGTCGCTCCTCTCCCGCTCGGCGCACCCGTGCTCGCTACCATGCGCGGCTTGCTCTCAACAGGTGACCAGCTGAAGATGGTGGTGGACGACGGGACAGCCCAGCCTGTCGATCGGTGCAAGTATTCTCAGATGGTGCCCGGCACGGAGGTGCTGGAGGTGCAAACGGGGGGTTTCTCCCTCACCCAGCGATACTCGCGAGGATCAACGTCGATCTCCACCTTCCAGCTGCTCCTGACGGACAACTCTACCAGCACAATGACCTTCTGCTACCGCCGGAGAGGTGAGAGGTTTACCCCTCCTCGGTTCCTCCACTTTCTCCTCTCTTCCTCCCCCTCGTCCTCCTCGTCTACCTCAGTCCAGGTCGTGATCCTCATTCGCTGATTGCCATCAGTTGTTCGATGTCCTCGTTTTCCTACTCCAAGCCCTCCTGCTCCCCTCCTCCTGCTCCAGTCACTCCTGCCCAGCCTCCCTTACTTCCCTCCTGCTCTTCCTCTCTGGCTGATTCACCCGCCTGCACAGGTCTCCTCGCGTTCCTTCCTGTTCCCTACAGGCTGGCGGAGCAGCAACCCTCTCCTCTCCTCAAGTTCTCTGTACCTCTCTCCACTCTTACCGGCGCCTGCAGCTCCTCGTCCAGCTGCCCTTCTCCTGTTACTGTCACTGTGTAGCGGCAGCACTCGAGAAAACAAAACCCTCTTATCCGAGAGCAGCGATCCGATCCGATCCCTTCTGTCCCTTCAAAAGTTCCCAATGAGTCAGACTCTGACAGTCTGTGATCGCCTGAGGCTGCCGGGCCCGGCGCTGACTCTCACCATGCAGCTGTTGCCATCGTCCTTTGGCCCTAAACCCCAAATCCGGAGACCACAGCTGATGATGACTGAGACAGGGAGACAGAGACAGAAAGACAGAGAGAGTGAGAGAGAGCAAGCAGTGTGTTTATGTGAGAGACAGAGACAGAGACAGAGACAGAGACAGAGACAGCCTGGGAGGGAGGGAGGGAGGGAGGGAGGGAGGGAGGGAGGGAGGGAGGGAGGGAGGAAAACACCGATTCGTGGAACGGGTCCAAGATATGCATCTTCCTTGACTCCACGGAGGATGCTCGACGCATGATTAAGCAGCACCACGCTGGCCGCCAGGGCCTGCGACGATCCCTCCGGGGAGGGCATGTAGAGCAGGTCCAGCACGTAGGTACCGTCCTTGCCCTTGGCGCGGATGCAGTGCCTGCTCGTGGAGAGGCCGGACTCCTCCATGCTCTTCGAGACGGCCTTGACGGCCTGTGCCTGCGTCGTCCACTCGAGCTCGGGGGAGCGGCGTTGCACCTCACCATGTCCCTGGCCGAGAGCAAGACGCTGCCGAAGCGGGAGGTGATCTGGTAACCCCCGACCTTGTCACTCACCTTGCTCAAGCCGTGGAAGACCGAGCAGGGGAGGAGAGTGCTGGAGATCCGCTCGTCCACCGGCGAGTGATCCTCCGGCCTCTCGGCTTTGCTGTCCTTGGCGTGCAGGGCTCGAACGTGGGTCAGCATCGCCTCCCTGAGCTGCTGGAGGTCCTCGAAGAGTGTGTTGCAGGGGGATAGAACGATGGAAGCGCTGGAACCGTAGGCACACCAGTCCCCGCCCTTTGGTAGGCCCTTCGGGATCTTCACCATCGCGGTGCCGATGAGCGCCGCCTCGGGCTCCTCCTTGCTCAGGACGCACTTGATGAGGGTTTGGCACTCCGAGGGCTTCAACGACCTCATGGGCGTCAGCAGGCCGTCCTTCAGCACCGCGTTGATCGTGGTCGCGACCGCCTCATTCTGGAAGGTCTGCAGGTTGTGATAGCTGTGTGTGCTGTTGGGGCCGGTGCTGGCAGCTTGCGAGCTGTCCTTGGCAATCACGGGGCGCTGCGCCGACGGTCGGTTCGAAGACATGTATCCCAGTGCTACCATGCCGTCCCGTCTCGGTTCCGACCTAAATAGAGATGATGCGGCACACCACAGCGCTGGGGCGGGAGTGGCCGGGCAGGGTCTGAATCTTTTACTTTCCACATTTCCACACATACACATACACACACACACACAGGCCCTCAGATGGCAAGCTCCTCGATGACGTGCCCCGTCTGGGTGATGTCCGCGTACCCCCCGGAGCTGGCCGGCACCACGAAGGCCTGGATCAGCAGCCCACACACGAGACAGCCGGCGAAGATCATGCAGGCGAGAAGCAGGAGGAAGGCGGAGCTGAAGCCGGGCCCGACGTTCTGCACCCTCACCGTCATGTCACGGATGAAGATGTCCGCCCCCCACACACCCTTCACCGAGGTGCTGTTGACTAGGGACACAGTAGACTCGAAGATCGCGTTCACAACGTCCGTGAGCGTCAGGCCCTGCGCGTCAAGGTACGAAACCACCTCCAGGGCCACCGCGTCCACCGGCGGCGGGGCCATCTGCCTTCTCGAGTCCATCGGCACCCTGACCCTGCCCCCCGACCTCCTCACGACGGGGTAGGCGGCCGCAGTCCGGACGTCGATCACCCCCTCCTGATTGAACACCCCCAGGCGCTGCAGCCACTCGGGAAAGCGGTAGGGGGTAGAGACCTGCTGCCGGAGGAAGGTAGATCGACGGGAGAGTCTGCATGTAGACCCTCCACTCCCTCGCGTACTGGCTGTTGTGGAGCTGGGCCACCGTCCGCACGGGTGTCCTGCTCCCATGGATCACAACGAGGCTGTTGCCCAGAGCCAGGCTCAGGTTGGACGACAGGCTGTCCACCCAGGCCCCCACCCCGGGGGCGGACTGGAGCGTCAGGTTCTGCGGCACCACCGGAACCCCAAACTGCTGCGAGAGCTCCGTCGTGTTGAGGATCAGCCAGAAGGTGTACCCGACAGCGACGCCGAGGGAGGGAGGGGGGAGGCAGGTGGCGCCCTCCGACCCGGGCCCCCCGCTCTGGTCGGCATGCATGGGGAAGGAGTAGTAGCCCTGCCTGCAGAACCACTGGCAAACCTTGGCGGTGGATTCCGGGCTCTCGTACCTCGCGAGCCAGAAGCTGTTGGCAGGGCTGTAGAGCCCCGACTCGAGACCGAGCACTGCTGCACGTCCGAGTAGCTCCTCGCATAGAGGTCGTTGATGTCACGGAGGAGCACCGCCTGGTACGGCACGAAGACGAGGTCGAGCACCCCTCCGCTGAACTGCTGGTACACGACCAGGAACCGGAAGTCTATCACGTAGTTCTTCTTCTCGTCGAGGTACTCGAAGCCGTAGAGCTGGGCCGAGGTGTGGGGAACGAAGAGGGTGCCGGAGGGGTAATCGAAGCGGATGCCCTCCGAGCCCCGCACCTGACCGAAGGCGGTGAGGTTGGACAGCGCAAGGGCCCAGCCGTCCATGTTCGAGGCACCGCCCCCCAGCCCTGCGACGGCCCCGGAGAGCGCGTCGTTGAAGTAGTGGGTACGGTTCAGAAGGTCCGCGTAGCAGCAGTAGGACATCGTGATCCCGCACCACGGCGCCTGCTCAGTCAGGAAGTTGTAGCTCGGACCGGTGGGCTGCCGCTGGTCCAGCACGAAGGCGGCATAGACCTCCCCCGGCTGCATCGCCGGGACCGTGAACTTCATCGACCAGAGCTGGCCGGCGTAGTCGAAAGTCACCGACGAGGCCGAGTGCAGCGTGGCGGTGGTCATGACGTTCACATTATCATACACGGGGATGAAGCCCTGGCCCGCGCACACGGGCAGGCAACAGACAGAGGCAAGGCCCACCGCCAGGGTCAGCGGAAGCCAGGATCTCACCATGCCCCCCTTCCCGTTCCGAAGTTCGGGAAAGACGGCGTTTGATGCTGCTTTATAGAGTGCTCGACGCTGGGAGGGGCGACCCCTTCTCTGGATCCTCCCAGTCTCTCCTCCTCTTCAAACCGCATTGCCTTTCCGTAATGGCTTGATACAGTGACTCTTTCGAGAGGTTACGGTGACTCAGGCATCGGGTCTTGCTCAGTACCCTGGTTAGTCTTGACGCCAGCCTCTGCACAGCCGAAGTTACAGGCTCTCCCTTGCAGGCGTCGTGCTTGGTCACGTACTCGGTCAGGATTGCTATTTCCGCCGCACAGTCGAAGCAGTGGTCGTACCCAGGGTAGGCAGGATTGGTCTCTTGTTCATGCCGGTAGCGCGCAACCCTCCGCACTGTGTTGAACCAGAACAGCTGCTCCTCATACTCTCGGTTATCATAAAGGCGAAGGCCCGCATCCTTCCTCACCACAAGCCTACACTCCGTGGTGCTGCAGGGCCCCCATATGGGTAGCATCAAGTATCCATCCAGGTACTTGGTCTTTCCATCCGACCATGGCAGCTGAAACTTCAGTATGGCAGCAGCTGGATTGATAATCTTGACAAAGACCGCCTGTAGCGCCATATCGCGGTGTATTTTCAACTCGTTCTCATCGGTCGACTCCCTCCTGTAGTTTGCCGAGCGGATATCGGATATGACCAGAAGGTCAGTCCTCCCCTTGTACTCCTCCGCCATGGACTCATCGAAAAGCCTGTTGATGACCCTGAATCTTGCATTCATGGCCAGTATGCCACTGTGAAACGGTGAAGGGTCAATGAGGGTGAAATGAAGATCAGGAAATAGATCAGCAATCACGAGGAGGTGCGCTCCGATGTAGAGCACCTCACGGATGCCAGGGTTGCAGTGATCTAGAATAAACTTGATCTCACACATCAGAAGCTTTCTCTGCCCCCAGTGCCTTGTCGTCTTCTCCGAGCTGTCGCGAGGGAAGTAGACACGCCTGGGTGCATCCCTCTGTAGGAACAGTTGTAGATCAAGGTCAGTCCGGCTACCCATATCCGAAAGAGCCTGCAACACGTGAGGGTTAGTTTCTGCCTCTTCGAACCTCGTCTCACCCCTGACCATAGGACCAGCATGTGACATGCACGGAAAGCGGTCATTTATACTCTGACTTTGACAGATGTCTTTCTTACAAAGAGGTTTATTCATGCTTACCAAGAGCTGGTCTTCTCTAAAAGCTCGTCAATCATCAGGCTGTTCTGATGGTTGATAGTCCCGGTCGAGAAGCGGACGGTGCGAGCGCCGCGGGTTCCGCGCTGACCCGCCCTGAGGAGGCGGGTGCCGCTCAGGCACCATTCCATGGCATTTACTAATGCCCAATTATAAACTTATATCCTTTTAACAAACACTTGTACCTGTTAATTTGATCATAAGCATACAGTTTTTAGTCAATTTTGTACCAGAATGATTTGTACCACTCAGTACTCTTTTATATTTGTTTTAAGCATTTGAGTTCCGGCTTACACGCCTCTTGGCTGCTCTCTACCCTGTGTACCGGTAAGTTGTCTGATATGGAGGGGGTAGGGTTATTCGTATATTTCGATACACGCTCATGAAATCTTATTAGTGTCAGCCATTGACGAGTGTAGTAAATCCAGCCAATAAGTATTTTTGTTTTCAAATCAAGGAGTCGTATGCCAGCTAGCAACGGAAACCTTTTTTTTCTACACCGGTTGTTTTGTATGGATACCTACGGGTGCCACCGAAACACAGGTCCCCTTGCCCCCGATCAAAAGGCAATTAGCTAGCGTTTTCAGGATTTTTCCTAGTTCAAATTCCTGTCCGCCGGATTTCCTGAAATCCCAAACTTTATTAAAACTATTTTAGGGGTGCGGAATCTGAGTACCCCTACTTTTACGGGTTGACAGAGGGGATGTCTTATTTGTAAAAATTTATTGAAAAACATCATGACCAAAACAGGAAATTTCAATTAGAGATTTTTTTTCACTCAACTCTGGACCTCTAATTGCTCCTACCCCCTAAATCCTGAGCCTCCTGCGTAGTAGTTTATTGCAGCCCCCGGCCCCCTCCACCCCCCACCCCCCCTTTCATACCTGCAACCCGCGCAAATCGCTCAGCATGGCCACAGCCGCTGGATCACAAGGTAGCCGTCAGAAATGCTTGTTCGGTTCACGATGCAAGGTTAGGGACGACGCAGCTCAACTGTATCAATGTACTGTCTGCTCAAACATGTTTCATCATCTTTGTGCTAGTGAATGGAGTGAAGAGTGGAGTGATTGTGGTTGCTCGACTCGCAACCCAAAAGGAACAAAGGGACCAAAAACTTCAGCGCAGCAGCAAACCCCAAAAGTTGTTCCTTCCATCTCTGAAGAACAAATCGCGGAATCAATTGTGGAATACGTTTCAGGGACTAACAGAACTAGACGGGTATGCAACAAGGAGAACGATCACGACGCAGACGGAGTTGCAGAGAGAGAGGTAGGCGGAGACGAAGCCTCGGACGAAGACGAAGACGAAGAAGAAGACGACGACGAGGACGATAACGAGGAAGTGGAGGAAATGGAAGGCGAGGACGAACAAGAAACAAGAGAAAAAATCGAGTCTGTCAAAGACAGGATGCTCTCGGACAATTCGAAGGCATGTTACTTCAGTTCTGTAAGTCAGCTGATTGCATGGTTGTATGAAACCAAACCATTTTGTTTGAATCACGAATTCAAGAGTTGTTTAGACAACGAACCCAGAAATCGTGGTCCAATTACCAAGAAGATCAAAGAATTGTTGAAGAGAAGAGAATTGTTACCATTCAACACGAGAAGGTTCTCATACAAGCAATGGACCAGCTATGTGGTAAATGTCATGATGAAAAAAAAGTTGAAATTCTCGTCATACGTAGCTTTGAGATCAGGTGTTAGGCATTTCTATAGAAGGCACCACAAGACCAAAACGTACAGGAGAAAGTTCGACGTTCAGATAGCCGATTTCTATAAAGGTCTTCAGAACAGGCAGATGCCACGCCATACTCGTGTACTAC